GTAATAATTTAAATGTTGCATTAAGATTGGAAAGTAAAACTTAGCATTTAATTGTCAATTCTCATTCTCCTTGGCATAGTAACTTATTCCATAATGGTTAACTTATACCCTGAGTCATTATAGGAAGCAGTGAAGTGTTGGATCATACCTAAACAATTGAGTATATGGCCTGCTTTGGATCTTGATGATGGACAGCGTGTGGAATGTGTAAAAGAGTGTAACCTCGGAGATGTCCTTTTTCCTTTAGGGATCAATCTAGAGTATGGGTGGAGGACAGAGATCCCTTGCGGCCTGCCAAATCCCTACTCACTTCTCAGACCCTGTTAATCGAGATGGAGATGGATGTTGATTTGTGTTTTGTACCGTCTTGGATCTCTCAGCCCATCATGAGGCAAAAATGTATTTGTTGTATCGTCCTGGATATTGACCTAGCCATGGTTTGCCATACGTGAGTATTTTTTTTTGTCCTGGAGCAGGCAACCTGGCATTGGTTTACTTGGCTTTCATGTTGTGTCGTTCTGAATTATTGGACCTTCTAGTATTATGTTGGATCAAAGTCACCACTGTTAGTGCTTCCTCTGGAATTTATTGGTCTGACTTCGAGTCAGCCAGTAATGTGTTTGTTGAATATTAAGAATTTATATTTTGTTATTGCCCATTGTTTGAACGTTTTTTACTTGCATTTAGTTCCCTTGTTATCATTTGTTGGTCCCAGTTTGGATCTCGGGACGAGACCTTTGCAGAGAGGGGAGGAAATGTAAATCTAGCCACTTTTTTCCCGGACCCGCGGTCCCGGTCTGTAAGACCGTGGACGTCGCCATATTTATAATCGGCATTGTTTGGTTTTGATATAATTCATTTGTTAAGTTTCAAGCATTGAATGGTGGTTAATACTGCAACACAGTCTATGTAACTTTAAAGCAACCTTTAAACTCATGTAATGAAATTGTGAAAGACCCGAAAGTTAATAAGTGCTGGGGTAAACGGTGTAACAAGAAGAGGATCAAGCAACCGGTGAGAAAAATCGAGGAAGCCGGGAAGAAGGTTTTCCGGGAGGAGTGTGTTTGGGACCTGCTTGGAAGCAACAAGGCTCGGTTTCGTCGGCTGTGAGGCGTGCTATCCTTTCTTCTATCTTCTAGCCACAGTCTACAATCACATCTCTTCGGTCAGCCACAACAGAGACCTTTTATAAAACTTTGGAGTGCAAGGGCGACCGGCCTATCCTCTCTGCGGCCCAACACCTCCCAATTTTTAATGCCTTTCCCTTTTTGCTCTACCCTCCCGGGGTAAAGAGCTCAGTTGCCTTATCGGCCGGACTCTCCCACTAATCCTGTTAAATTAGGGTTGGGTGATATCCCTTTGTGATCTTTTACCTGGTGATCTTAAACTTGTACAACTCTTTTTTAGAGAAAGTAATCTTAATATATTTTCAAAGAATCTAATTTTTATACATCTTGCAAGAGTAAATTTAAAGTTATTTATGAGCATTTTTATCTCTATTTATTTGAGCTGTTCGCAAAGGGCCTATGATCCTTGAGTGAAGGGTTCCATAGGAACCCCAGGCCGTGTACCTTAGACACTCTACCTGCCAGATACTCCAGGGATCTGAGCCTACACCCTCTCAGCTCCCACCAGCGCTCCTACCATTATATTTTGATTAGAAACACCATAAGGAGGGAAAGGAGCGCTACACTCCCCCTGTCCCAGCTGCATTCTTAACTTGCATTACATCATAGCCTAAGATGTGTTGTACTAATCCTTTCAGGACTAAGTCCCTCCCGAGCTGTCCTGAACTACAGAATCAGCAACCCCTACGCCCACCCCCATGACCCAAGCTAAGTCACTCCACCACACTCCCTCATATTTTCATAAGTGAATGCATGTATGACTGAGTGAGCGAAAGGAAGTGTGAATGGCATGAGCGAATGATGCGTAATCGTACAATCTTTTATTATTCTAGCTGTACAAAACATGACATAGAACCTCCCTAAAATCATTACTATTACTATTAAATACATAAAAAAAATAATAAAATTTTTAAGTCTTGAAAACCCCCCAAAAAATGAATAAAAAAAACTATAAAACAAGAAAACAACCCCCACAATGACCATGCCGACTGATAAATCTTTTACCTCCCTCAGCAACCCCTGGCCTGACAACACCACCTGGTGGCTGGCCGCGGACCCACCCAACCCCAAGACCTGGACTCTAACCACAACTGAAGACAAACCACCTTTCTATATCCCCAAATTGTATATTCCACTCCTTCCCATCTTGTATCCTCTTTCTGTAAAGGGCATGCTGTACAAATAAATGGTCATTGAACAAAAAAGACAACTGAGGAAGTTATATATCAGACCCCTGAAAGACTCCGATGCCCTGGCAATGATTCGTCAAGTGATCAATGACATTCCAGCCTCACATGACAGTCCATCATGTCGAGGAAGAGACCAGATTCCCTTTGGGGACCGTCAACATCATGAATCGCGTCATTGTGCCTCTGGGAGGAGACGGCGATTTAGAGAGTGAAACAGAATGAGCGCATGAAGGAAAATTATCCTCCTGGTTATTTTAATTTTCTTCGTCTGACATGCGTTTCTATCGTTTTTCACAATATCTCGCTGAATCCCAGAATGTCTTGATTGCAAATG